TTGCCCTCTCTAGTAGCTTCAAGGCTGCTGTTTCTCACCATTGTGGCAGTGCTGTTGTTTTTCAAGGCTATTGGAGAGCTGGGGAGAGGAAGAAGAGAACAGGGCAAATTTAAACACCACAAAGTTGCTGCTCACTGTTCTTATCTAGATACAGCCAGTTTTCTTGAGTAAATGCTTCTTGAATTATTGCAAGTCTTTTGTTAATTTCCAGAGTTCAGAAAAAGTTATGCATTTATTTATTTATTTATTTGTTTGTTTTTGAGATAGAGTCTCACTCTGTCACCCAGGCTGGAGTGCAGTGGCACGATCTTGGCTCACTGCAAACTCTCTCTCCTGGGTTCAGGTGATTCTCATGCCTCAGCCTCCTGAGTAGCAGAAATTACAGGCGTGTGCCACCATGCCCAGCTAAATTTTGTATTTTTAGTAGAGACAGGGTTTCACCATGTTGTGAGGCTGGTCCTGAATTCCTCACCTCAAGTGATCTGCCTGCCTCAACCTCCCAAAACGCAGGGTTTATAGGCATGAGTCACTGTGCTTGGCCAGAATAAGTTATTTTGACAATTTTTTTTGGTGTTGTCATTGCCTTTGGTTTTTTATCATTATGCTGCTATTCTCACTGACCTCACTCATGCTATTCTGTCAGGCCTCAATCAATTTTCTTCACAGAGCACAGTCTCTTCATCATTTCCCACAAAATCCAATTACAGCAAGTAATTATTTTTCAATAGACTTTATTGGAGTCTATTTGAATAACTGACAGATAAAGTCCCATTTTTGTTGTATGTTACGTTTTGCCATCTTGGGGGTTTTACCACTTTTTACTTTATTTATCTCCCACACTATCCCCAGATACCTCTCCATGTAATATTAAGCCTATTCTTTCTTCTTTGAATCCTACTTGGTGTTATTTTCTTCTCTAATCACTGTCCTAAACCAGTGAAGTTCTCTTAGAATTTTGGAGGAATTCAAATGAATTAGAATTATATCTTGTTATAAATATTGTATTTAAGTCTCAGGTATGTTGGATATAGATCATTTCAAAATGTCTTTTCAAGCTATACAATGCCATTTTGGGTGGCTGCTGCTTGTGAAACTACCAAGATCTCCATCCTTCTTATTTCTTTCTTTGTCTCTCTCCACCTGAATTAATTTTTCTCCTTTCATAGATGAGACCTATTATTTTTGTAACTTGGAGAGAGGAGAGAAAATTTGGATGAGTAAAAAGGTTAAGGTGAAGAGATGAGAAAATATTGGAGCAGGAAGGCATACCATCTGTTCTTCACTTGTCTCCTCATACTGATTTTGAGCCCCCTGTGGAGACAGAATTTTGGAGATAGAAGTGGATTGAAATATGTTCAAAAGGAACTTTGTGGGATGTACAGAAAATACACACTCTTTTCCAGCACTAATGGACATTCTAAAAAATTGGGCATGTATTAGGCTACAAAGGAAGCTTCGATAATACAGACATTGTAGCTGCATTCTCTTTTTGGTCAGAAGCAAGACAGGGATAGCCACTATCAGCACTACTCTTCGTTATTTTCCTCCAGTAGTATGTTTGCAGATATATTCTTTAGTGTATACATCAGATGATATTGTTTGGATATTTGTCCCCACTCAAATGTTGAAATTTAATCCCCAGTGCTGCAGGTGGGGCCTGATGGGGATGTATTTGTATCATGGGGGCAGATCCCTCATGGCTTAGTGCTGTCTTTGTGATAATGAGTTCTTGTGAGGTCTGGTCATTTAAAAGTGTGTGGCATCCCCCACCCCCAATTTGCTCCTTCTTTCACCATGTTACATGCCTGCTGCTCCTTTGCCTTCTACCATGACTGTAAGCTTCCTGAGGCCTCCCTAGAAGCTGATCAGAAGCCAACACTATACTTCCTGTAAAGCCTGCAGAACTGTGAGCCGGTCAAACCTCTTTTCTTTGTAAGTTATCCAGTCTCAGGTATTTCTTTATAGCAATGAAAGAATAGCTAATACAGTAGGGACTATGCCTCGGACTTTCCGAGCAGCAATGGAAGGGCTTTGTATATTCAGTACTGAGTGTTCTTGTTGTTGGTTGAGTGAATTTGTAGTGTTAAGGTGAGCAGTGTGAGATTTGATTGATTAGAGATTTCCCTGTGCTGTGTTTAAACATTGTTTTTGGCTGTATAGCATTGAATTCTCACTGCCTATCTCTGCTGGATAGTGTGTGATCTACTTAATATATCTTAATATCTTTCTTTTCTGCTTAAATTAGCTAAGTAGATTTTATTAAATTATACCTGAATATTTGACTGACAAGAAGAGGATCTTGCTAAAGCTAAGACAGTAAAAATAGTATAGTAGTATTGCAGAAAGAAACAACAAGATGAATATAAAACTCAGAAAGTTCAATAGGTAACTTTGTGAATCAAGTTCATAGGCAACTCTAATATGATAATCATGATGCCACAAATCTGTAGGGAATGCTGGATTATTTAGTAGATTGTGCTATTAAAACTGTCCTGCTCTACGGAGAAAAATAAAGTAGTCGGGTCTTCTACAGATGTAAATTTTAGATGAATTAAAACCTAAATGTAAAAGACAAATCTAGAAAGATAATAAACACAGTGTGGGAAAATGTATTTGTGGCTTTGGGGTGAAGAATGATTTCTAAATCAAAATCCCTAAAGCTCAATAAAGTGAAAAAAAATGATAATGTTGATTCCTTCAAAATTAAGGACTTCCATTAAAAAAAGGACACCATAGACAAACTTAGTAGACTGGGACCATATTAGAAAAAGATATTTGTGATTTTGGATACAGCCAAAAATTAATATATGAGAAACTCTTATGATTTACTGAGAAACACTAGAGGACTAATTTTAAAGTGCGAAATCCTTTGTATAGATAACATGGGAAAGGGGAAATACAAATAGCTCAATTTGACTAATAATCAGAGTAATGCAATTTGAGATTCCATACTCAGTAGATTGGTAAAAGTAGACAGTTTTATAATACTAAGTGTTGTTGAGGTTATGGAAAGACTGGAATGCTCATGCACTGCTGGTAGAAGTGTAAGTGGCTGTAGCTACTTTCAATCATTACCGTAGTGAAATCGAGCATGTGTATGTACTATGATTGAACAATCTTTGCTGGGGACATACCCTAGAGAAATTATCACATAGTTAATAGGTGAAATGTAAAAAAAATGTTAATTGCTGTGTTTGCAGGAGTTACAGGCAGCCTATAATTCCACCACTAGGGGATTGCCTAAGTAAGTGTGGTGCATGCTGAAATACTGTGCAGTAGCTACTTTGAACCAAAAGTACATAACCAGTATCTAAAAAGAGTTTTAAGTTATCTATAGCTCTGTACTACTTGGCTTCAGTAAGAAGCTGCTTGAAGGCTTAATCAGCTTACTTGTACAATTGTATTCCTTTTGTGTTCCGCTCTGTGTTTTGGTTGTCAGAAATTTCAGAGCTCAAATTAATCATAGTAGTGATCTTAGTCCTTCCATTAAATAAATTGGTGCCCACTTCCCTTTGATTTTTTTCTATCCTCATTTTAGAGTCATTTTGGAATTCTGTGTTTTATTTGGAAGCTTTTTGAGGTCATAAATATAAATACAAGGTTTCTGTTGGACCTAAATGATCATCTTATCATTATTATGTTTTTTATTTTTAGACGGAGTGTTGCTCTGTTGCCCAGGTTGGAGTGAAGTGGTGCGATCTCAGCTCACTACAACCTCTGCCTCCCGGGGTCAAGTGATTCTCCTGCCTCAGCTTCCCGAGTAGCTGGGATCACAGGTGCCTGCCACCATGCCCAGATAATTTATATATTTTTAGTAGAGACGGGGTTTCACCATGTTGGCCAGGCTGGTCTCGAACTCCTGACCTCAGGTGATCCACTCACCTTGGCCTCCCAAAGTGCTGGGATTACAGGCTTGAGCCACTGCTCCTGGCTCATCTTATCATTATTAAGGATTCTCTCATTAAGAAAAGAGAAAAGATTAGGAAAGAAACAGATTTCCTCTCACCTAGAAGACTATTTAAGAAAGGAAAGGGGATTTATAAAGCAACCATCCAAAGAGAAGTGTGTTACTCCATGAAAGTATATGTTTAATAGCCACTCACCTGAATAAAGAACATCTTTTAGTAATCAGAAGGCTTTTACAAAAGGCAATTATTTCATTTGGATAGCCTTCATATTCCTATGGAAATTGAATAAGGATAAAGAAATTGAACAAAAGCAAAGGACACGAAATCTCTTGAAGATATGAGAAGCTGTGAACACTTGTCTTAGGGGGTGCATGGAGAAATTATTTTTCGTGAGTTCCCATGTAGTCCACTAGGTGGCGGAGGTTACATAAAAGCCCTACTGTATAATAAACGCCGAATTGCTGCAAACTGTGTTTCCTCTTCTTTTTCAAGTAAAATCCCAAGGAAACTTGTACAGTATAATAAAAGCCGGAGACAGAACTTTGTAGTAAGCCCTATATTAATAACAATAACAGTGTCAAGTTGCAAAATGAGGATAGGTACCATACCAAAAGAGATTATCTCCAAATGCAGTTTTTGCTTCTTTTGTTTACAGAAAAAGTACAGCTGACGTTTTTTTCCCATATTTGTTCCAAAGATCACCTTGAATGCAAGGAGTCAAATTTTGATCAGCATATTTACACAGTAACTTTTGTACCTTAAAAAAATTCATTTCTTATCTACTGCGGCTACTAATATTTCATGCTAATTATTTTAAACACATTAGCAGGTCATCATGTCATATGTGATGGGATTTAGCATACTTTTTGTGTGAATATATCACTTTAATTTGTATAATGGAGCAGTGCCCCATTAATTATGTGACTCCTTCTAATACCCTTAGAGAAGAAAGGAAGCTCCTTGAATACTAAATTTGCACAACCACAGTGACCTTATAGAGGTTGCCTTCCCTTTTAAGATTAATTTCTCAGAACAAAGCACAGTGAAGTCATTACTATGCAGCCTCACAACTGTAGCAGCCCTTCTAAAGGCTGTAGATTCTGGCTGATGATGTCACTGACACAAAGAAAAAAAAATGCAAAACAGTCTTAAATAAGCTTTCTGGTGAGACCAACTGCATTTTGGCCATGGCTCTGCAGAGCACTCTGGGGACAGTGTGGGTGGGACTTCTCCTCAACTCTCTCTGGAATGGTGAGTAGGCTCCTTCACTATTTGGTTTTGTAAAAGTGTAGGACATTGTTTTAAAATTTGGACTCATTTTTAATAGAAAAACAGAGAAGTCAGATCTAATATTCACTGTATCTAAGGGGCAATCAACAAACCAAATAGTACCATTAAAGTGACAGCCCTCTTTGTTTTCCTAGTTGCAGAAAGCAAGGACCAAGTGTTTCAGCCTTCCACAGTGGCATCTTCGGAGGGAGCCATGGTGGAAATCTTCTGTAATCACTCTGTGTCCAATGCTTACAACTTCTTCTGGTACCTTCACTTCCCGGGATGTGCACCAAGACTCCTTGTTAAGGGCTCAAAGCCTTCTCAGCAGGGACGATACAACATGACCTATGAACGATTTCTTTCTTCATCGCTGGCTCATCCTCCAGACGTGCGGAGGCAAGGCATGCTGCTGTTATGATTACTGTGCTGTGAGACACAGAGGCAGCGGCAACCCATGAAGAGCTGAACAGAAACAGAGGAATCACAGCCTTTGCAGGAAGGTAAACAGCGAGGCAATAACTCTTAATTCGGTTTCTTTCTCTGTTTTTTCTTTGGTATTCTTATAAGGAAAAAAAAAAACGGCCGACCACCACATAACAAAATGCAAAAAATGCAATTTTGGAATGGTTTGCGTCTCGCTGGAGTGCGGTGGACAGATGGCTTGTGCTTGAACCTTCGGTCCAAAGGTAGCTGGACTCAGCCGTTGTGAGTAAAAATAGTTGGAGCCTCATGTGAGTCTTTTTTAGACGCCATGGAGTGGTCTCTCCCCCGGGCCGACTGTCTCAAATCCTGGGCTTCAAGGTGGATCCTCCTGCTATCGCCCAAGGTGTAGAATTACGGTGCTGAATCAATGGCACCCAGCCCAGGAAGATATGCCTTTGTAACGATGGGTGATGTATTTCAACAGTCTTCTTGATATCTGGGGGAACCCTTGTCTGAGCTCATTTTTTTTGGAGACTGATTACGAACTTATTTTTGGCTTTTCCCTCATAAAATGACTGATGATGAACTTGCGATAGTGTAGAAGAGGCAGGTCAACCCTTCCAGTTTTCTTTTCTTTTTTTTAAAAATTCAGACAGGCGGAGTGGCCAGTGGCATGATCAGTAGTCGCTTTGCGGCTTGAACTCTGGCCCTCCAGTGATCCTCCGCTTGACCTCCCGCAAAGCACTGCGGATGTATAAGTGGGAGCCACCAGGGTCAGTCAACGTGTAATTTTCTCATGTGCTGTCGGTGCTTACCTTTGTTAAATACTGGTTCTGTTAGCTTCAGGTTTCTTTTCAGGCAATACTTTCAAAACAGTCCACTTGTAAGGTGGTTTATTAACATGGGATGATGTTATAGAGCTCGAGAAAGGAGGCATGAATGATGTGGACTGGCTGCCTTTACTAGCAAGGCCCTGCTTTTGGGAACCTCCAATCCTTGCCTCAGAGATACTTTGCTTAGTAATCTAGAACAGTTCCCGCTTGGAGGCGGGGCCAGGTCAGTGTAGTATATGAAATTTTAGTAAAACTGAATCTCCTTCACAGATATTTAAACTAAAACAATGCCAAATGAAGTCTTTGTACCTTATTGCCAATGGCATTACTTCCCAGGCCTGTCAATTAGCGTTGCCGTCGCCTCATCCCAGAGTTGTGTCCTCCCACTTTAGGACCATGCCTTTAGGTAAGGCCCGAGTCTTGTGTTTTAGTATTTTTTTTTCCTCTTATTAGATCAGAAGATTTGTGTGAAATTGGATTTTGTTTTTTGCGGGGGGGCCATATTCTTGTATATACCCTAATACTAAGGGTGTTAGGTGGGACCCAGAAATCTGTATTTTTCCATAAAGCTTCTGCTTTGGGTGGATTTTTTGCCTCAGGCCAGTTCTGGATTTTCTGGGAATTAGATTTTTGGGACCTCAGGGTGTATGCAGTTGCATTCGCACGCTGCTATAAAAAGAAATTACCCGCGCCAAGACTGGCGTTAAATTTATAAAGAAAAGAGGTTTAATTGACTGCATAGTTTCTGGGCCATGGCTGGGAATAAGGTCTCAGGTTCAATTCTTTTTGACGGATAAGGCCAAAGGGGAAGAAAGGCCCTTTCTTCACAGGGGCCCAGCAAGAAAGCCGAAGTGGCCCAGCAGGGGAAATGCCAGACATGTATAAACGCCATCAGATCTTGTGAGAACTTCATCACTATCATGAGAAACAGGCATGGGGGGAAAACCATCTCCATGATTCAATTATCCTCCCACCAGGTCCCTCCAGCAACATTGCGGGATTATTACAATTCAAGGTGGAGATTTGGGGATGGGGGATACGAGCCAAACCATATTACCAGGGTCTCCAGGCTTTAACCACTATTCTCTACTTCCTTTTTCAGGGCAGATTTTAGTAACAGGAGGAGGGCTTCAGGGGAAGTGAACCGTACAGTGCAATTGCTTGGTTACCGAAAAGTAGACTTTCAGCAAACTGTTGACATTGGGAATAAAAAAGTGGAAGGCTAAGATGGGCATGATGGGCTTACCACCCTGGTAATCCAAACACTTGGGAAGCTGAGGTGGGAGGATCCCTTGAGCCCAGGAGTTGGAGACCAGCCTAGTCAACGTAGTAAAACCCTGTCTCTATAAAAAATAGAAAAAATTAGCTTGGTGTGTTGGCATGTGCCTGTAGTCCCAGCTACTTGGGAGGCTAAGGTGGGAAGATCGCTTGAGCCAGGGAGGTTAAGGCTGCAGTGAGCCAAGAGGGCACCATTGCACTCCAGCCTGGGTAACAGCAAAACCCTGTCTCGATTAAAAGAAAAAAAGTGGCCAGGTGCTGCGGATCATGCCTATAATCCCAGCACTTTGGGAGGCTAAGGCAGGTGGATCGCTTGAGCTCAGGAGTTCGATACCAGCCTGGTCTGTACCCAAAATACCAAAAATTAGCTAGGAGTGCTGTGCACCTGCGATTCCAGCTACTTGGGAGGCTGAGGTGGGAGGATGGCTTGAACCTGTGTGGTGGAGGTTGCAGTGAGCCAAGATGGCACCACTGCACTCCAGCCTGGGCATCAGAGTGAGACCCTGTTAAAAAAAAAAAGGAAAAAGGTGAAGAGCAGATTGCTGATGACAGAAGAAAAAAGGCATTTTAGTAATGTCAATTGTCATGAAACTTTGCCAAGATGTCATAAGATTGACTTTTAAATGCAAATTTTTAATAACATCCAAATATTTCCATTGGATATAAATGTAAATTGGTATGCTTGTGCTTGTATTACTTTGTTAGGCATATTATATTTTGAGTTGTTGCTTGCTTAAAAGTGTGTTAATCTTGTTTATTTTATTTTATTTCTTTATTTTTTCTGAGACGGAGTCTCGCTCTTGTCGTTCAGGCTGGAGGGCAGTGGTGCAATCTGGGCTCACTGCAACCTCCACCTTCCGGCTTCAAGCGATTCTCCTGCCTCAGCCTCCCAAGTAGCTGGGATTACAGGCACATGCCACCATGCCCAGCTAATTTGTATTTTTGGTAGAGACGGGGTTTAACCATATTGGCCAGACTGGTCTCAAACTCCTGACCTCAAGTGATCCACCTGCCTCAGCCTCCCAAAGCGTAATTTAAAAAATCTTATTTTTTAATCAAATGAAATTCTTGAGAAGAGGAAGCATATGTGACCCTTCTTTAAGGTTGTCCTGCACAGTTCTGTTTGCACTGTAGTGGCTCAATAAATTATGAACACGGGTGTGACCTCATTGCTTTGGCAAGAGGGACCAGAGACAGAAAATTCCCTTTGGTTATATAAGGAAGTTCTTTCGTTCACAAAGGAGTCTGTACATGTGGTATATTGAAAACCTTACCTTTTACTCTGGTGTTTTGATTCTGTAATTCAAACCGTCAACAACTAGTCTTCTACCAGATTTTTTCCAGCTCACATGGAGAACTCTAAAGGCATTATTATCCAAAGGGGAAAATGGAAAAAGAGAGTGAAATAAGAGGAAAATGCAGTTGATGCGTTTTTCTTACAACAAAGAGAGCAGCCATGAAGTCCCATTCTTAAAGGTATAATATTTTGAAGCTCCCCAATGGTGACAAGGACAGAAACATCCACAGGAGAATAAATTTTTTTTTTTTTTTTTTAACTCCCAAGCCTGGGAGTTCATATATATAAATCGAAAGATATCTGTGTCTGTCACTGGCTCCATGAGAAATCTGAAAGGCTTGCCGTGGCTTGCTACTGTGTCCTACACCATCTGACTTCACTATTAGTTTTTTTTTTTTTCAGGGCCATGAAAACCACCTATGGTAATTGTCTGTACCTTCTGAAAATCAGGAGAATACTTTTTTTTTTTTTTTTTTTTTAACTCCCAAGCCTGGGAGTTCATATATATAAATTGAAAGGTATCTGTGTCTGTCACTGGCTCCATGAGAAATCTGAAAGGCTTGCCGTGGCTTGCTACTGTGTCCTACACCATCTGACTTCACTGTTAGTTTTTTTTTTTGACAGGGCCATGAAAACCACCTATGGTAATTGTCTGTACCTTCTGAAAATCATGGCGCCGCAGAGAATGGTTGGTATTTGGAAGGCTGTGTTCCTTTCATTTTCTTCCAAGGATTAGCGTTGTGGGTTGAATTATGTTCCTTGTCCCTTGTCCCCCACAAGGATATTTTTTTTGGGGAAGGTGACATGGGTAAGTCCTAGTCCTCAGTACCTCAGAATGCAACCTTATTTGGAAATAGAATCTTTATAGTGGTGATAAAATTAAAGTGAAGTCAATAGGATGAGACTTAAGCCAATACTGACTGATGTCCTTATAAAAAATGGAGATCTGAACACAGAGACAAACATGCACAGAGGGAAGACAATGTGGGGAGGCACAGGGAGAAGATATAAAAAATGTAGTATTTTTCAGAGGTTTGAGATAGCGTGGATATAGTTGGGACAAGAACACAGCAATAAACTGTGTGGGGAGATTGAAAGTCAGATGTGAATTAAAATATTTTGCAGATTGCTTGTGTAGATAGATAATGATCTCAAGGTCCAGTTTACATTTATTTTCCCTGTGATATCTTGGAACTACATAAATTGTCTAGAAATTAGGTGTAATCTCAGGAAAAGTTAGGAAAACTCTGGTTTGACTGAGATTTGGTTTCTGATACCTGGTAGAACATAGCTTTAAATAGAAATTAAATATAGTTATGAAAAATAAAAGTTTATTTTTTCCCTCCTTGAGCATCTACTTTTATGTATTGAAATTTTACCCCTTACAGATGATTTAAAACTTTGCTTTCTTCGAAATGTATGAAATGATGATGATTTTGGTGAAAGGGATAATACTGTCTTAAACCACATAAGGGGAAGGCACTCTCAATGGGACTCTCATGGATGAATAGCATTCCCTTTGGACTCAGTTTTGAACACCTGAACAATAAAATAGAAGATTTAAAAAATACACATAATCACTCACAAATTCATCTGTAACATCTTTTGCATGATCTTTGTTCTAGTATTTAACTGAATTTTTCCATGGATAATCTTCTATAGCCATTTTCTCTCCTACTGTTCTACATTCTTTTACCAGATTATCTCAAAATGTATCTCTGATTTTATTATTCCATAAATAAAATCCTTCAGGCTTTTTAATTTTATATATAAGGAAGAAACAAAAACAAAGTCAGCCAATCTAAATAGAGGTACCCTCTTCTTAGTAAAGCTGTCATATTACAAACCCAATGAAACTTCTGCTTTACTTTCTGCTGCTACATCCCCTATCCCTTTGGGTCACCAAATAAGTTTATTCTCTAGCCTGTAAGACCTGTTGGCATTATCTCCTGTATGAGTCTTATCAGATTATTTTCTGTGCCTGAAATGCCCTCTTTCTCCCTTTATTCAGATTCTAGCCCAACCTCTATAACTTCTTCAACTGAGGACTCTCTCCCTTGTCTGTGCTGCTATAGTATAATGATCCCCAAAGTGTTTGACTGTGTGCTATTATCAGTAAAATATGTTACTCCTCCAACATATGCTTATTTATATGCTCATAGTTTATGATCGTGTGCATAACAAACAAAAATAGAAATTAGGAAAGTTTGAGATAAATATAATACTAAATGTTATGATTTTCTTTTTGCATGCAGGGGGATCATCTTGTGTAATACATCCATGTCCCTTTTACAAGATGAACTAACTAGACTAACTTGGTCTTTAACTAGTTGGCTAAATTTCTTAAACTTTATGAAACTCTTTCTTCTCTCATTTGCAAGAAATATCTGTAATGATTTTTCTATTAACATAATTCTTGCACATTTTACTTCAGATTGTTAGTAGTTTTTCCCCTAAGTGTTCATCTACCAAAATGGATGGTAAGTTTCTTGAGGGCAAGGATTATGTCTTGTTCCTCTGTTTATTTCTCAATGCAAATGGTATCTTACATTTAACAGGCACTGAAAAGTGATTTGTGAGGATCAACGGATTCACGGGGTTTTCTCCTGGAATTGTCAGAATGCCAAGGCAGTTCTTAAGTAGATCCCTGGATGAGGAAGCCTCTCTGCGAAGGACAACCGTTTGTGATGAATGAAGGGAAACAGAGCTCTTACTGCATTGCATATAAGATGGCCTCTCATTACTTGGATTTCTGGTAGCTCTGTGTACTTATTTAAAGTTTCAATCATCTGACAGTTATTTACTGGGTGCCTATAATTTGCCAATCACATGTTTTTTTTCCCTTTATTCTTGTCCCATAAAACAAAACAAAACAAACAAAACACCCATTCTCAGAGCTTCTCTACAACAGAAAGACACCAAACTAAAAATAAAAAAGCGTGAATCTCGGGAGGAGAAGTTCTGAAAGACAATCTAGACCATCTGCCCATGCGATGCTTGATTTTCTCAACAGCATCACATCAAGGGAATTGCCAATATTTTCACAACAGTTTCTTGCAGGAGGGTTCTTGCGGCTCCCATATCATCCATTCAAACTCCAGGTAGCTGTGAGCTGAAAAGCAATTATGCTTTATGTTGAGGAAACATCTGTGTTCCTGTGACTTCTACACCTTTGGGAATCTAAAACAGTTCACATCTCTCCTTTACACATTTTGAACCAGATACAACATTTCCATTGAGTAGTTTTTTTCCATATTAAATACTTACATGTGGCCAGGTGTGGTGGATCATGCCTATAATCTCAGCACTTTGAGAGGCTAAAGGCAGGTGGATTGCTTGAGCTCAGGAGTTTGACACCAGCCTGATCTGTACCCAAAATACTAAAAATTAGCTAGGAGTGGTGTGCACCTGCGGTCCCAACTACTTGGGAGGCTGAGGTGGGAGGATGGCTTGAGCCCCGGGTGGTGGAGGTTGCAGTGAGCCAAGATGGCACCACTGCACTCCAGCCTGGGCATCAGAGTGAGACCCTGTTAAAAAAAAAAGAAAAAGAAAAAAGTTGAAGAGCAGATTGCTGATGACAGAAGAAAAAAGACATCTTAGTAATATCAATTGTCATGAAACTTTGCTAAGGTGTCATAAGATTGATTTTTAAATGCAAATTTTTAATAACATCCAAATATTTCCATTGGATATAAGTGTAAATTGGTATGCTTGTGCTTGTATTACTTCGTTAGGCATATTATATTTTGGGTTGTTGCTTGCTTAAAAGTGTGTTAATCTTGTTTATTTTATTTTATTTCTTTATTTTTTCTGAGACGGAGTCTCGCTCTTGTCGCCCAGGCTGGAGGGCAGTGGCGCAATCTGGGCTCACTGCAACCTCCGCCTCCCGGCTTCAAGCGATTTTCCTGCCTCAGCCTCCCAAGTAGCTGGGATTACAGGCACGTGCCACCATGCCCAGCTAATTTGTATTTTTGGTAGAGACGGGGTTTAACCATGTTGGACAGACTGGTCTCAAACTCCTGACCTCAAGTGATCTGCCCGCCTCAGCCTCCCAAAGTGTTGGGATTACAGGCGTGAGCCACCATGCCTGGCCTAATCTTATTTTTTAATCAAATGAAATTCTTGAGAAGAGGAAGCATACGTGACCCTTCTTTAAGGTTGTCCTGCACAGTTCTGTGTACACTGTAGTGCCACAGCTCCTGTTGGGTCTACCCAGAATACGGTCAAGACGAGATATTTATACTCTAAAATGTCATGTATCCTTTGGCCTGTGATTAGTTACAGGTGTCCTGAGATTAGGGTAATTGCATCTTCTCCCATCTTTTTGGGCCTAGGAGTGGTGAAATCTTCTGGCTGTTATTAGCCCCAGGTGCTTCACCTTCCCTTGTAGTTTTCCCTAAATTTTGCACATACATTTAAAAATATTCATTTTGTTAAGCTTTTTTTCAATGATTTTCTCGAGATGATTGCCAGAACCCTCAAAAAGACAACACTAACACTCATTTTAGGCTTGAGGCAGAGAGAGAAGAAAGAAGAAATTAACTATATGTTTCCATTTATGACAAGTCTTTCTGGAACTTGAAGATTATTGTTTAAAGACACTTTACCAATTCCAAAGGAAAACATTATTATATGGCTAAGTTTTCAATGATTAAAGTATGAGATCCTTACCAAACCTTTTAGAAAGAATTATGTTCTTCTTTTTTTCTGATTCAAAGCAAAGAGATTTTTCATCCTTTCCTCAGAATATATACTGAACATTATTTGCACAGTATTCAAAAGAAACAGAAGGCAAATCAGAGGAATAACTTCTTTATATTGATACATGCTTTTTACATTAAAATTAAAATCTATCAAATACTTACTCTGTTGCTATTGTAGCCTTTTTTTAGTATAAAACTTTAGCATGTCCTCCCTTTCCAATGAGCCCCTTTTCACCATCATAATACATCAAGTTTAGTTAACTATACATTTTTTACTAAATATGTACTTCATTTGAAGTCTGTTTTAAGTAGCCTCTGCATGTGTAAAGCACCTATTTTTCAACCCCTTCTCAGAGTTTCATTTTTCGTTTTATATCTACTGTTTAATATGACCAATGCTCCAAAAATATTTATAAAACCTTTTCTTACTTTTCTCTCTCTAAAAATGTTTAAAGAGAAGGTTCAAGTTTCTTTTTGCACTAAAGATCATTATGGGATGGGCTCCTAATAGGCCCAACCTAGAGAAAAATCTGAGTTATTGTTTGGTCAAAGAGGTCTACACAGAAGCCAGCTCTGAATTACTTCTAACGAGAAGAGCAAGGCTCCTGTTTTCGCTTGTCATTTATCTTTCTTGCCTTACTCTTTTCTCCTATTTTGCTTTTTCTTATCTCTCTTTCAAAAATTTTCTCTCCCTCTTGATGCAAAGCTATATTTTCCTTTCCTTTTCTGTGCATTTTCCCATCCTATTTCCCTTCTTTCTGTCTCTACATTAAGAGAGCACAAATCATTTACAGCTTGGTCCACTCAGCCTGAATCTTTTCCACTTTGATCCACAAACTTCTATTTCTTCTCCTTTGAATCCCTGATTTGCTCCCTATGTCCCTCATGGAGCGTGTAACCACCCAAAGTTTGGCCCAGGGATAAGGCCAGGAAGCACCAGCTACTTGACAGTGAAGTCGCTGGTCCTACGTGTGGGCTCTAGGGGGCGATGCAGTGTAACGTCCTGGTGCAGGAGGAGCAGCAGTCTTGCTCCCCACAGAGCTTTGAGGAGCTGGACCAAAAGTGTGCTCCACAGAGAGAAGATACCGGTGCCGGGAAGTACCAGTGCCCTGAGGAAGGGCCATTTCTAGAAGCCCCGTGCTGACACACGGGTGCTGGTTACTCTTCAAGAGCTCACTCTCTGGGGTGGGGCAATATCTCCAGCAGAGGTGGACTGGAAAGGACCCCGCCCGCAACCCCGCCCGCCGTAAGCTTAGCTGGAGCCATGGCCTCTGCACGCATCTCGACGCTTGCGATGCTCTTCACATTGAGTGAGTAATATCCCCTTCCCATTTTCCACTCGCATGATCCACTTACATGCTCTTCAGCAGCTTCACTGATGCAGCTTGGATTAATTTACAGGTGGGCTGAGAGCTCAGTTGGTGACTCAGCCAGAAGATCAGGTCACGGTCGCCGAAGGGAATCCTCTGACTGTGAAATGCACCTATTCAGTCTCTGGAAACCCATATCTTTTTTGGTATGTTCAATACCCCAACCAAGGCCTCCAGTTCCTTCTGAAATACATCACAGGGGACAACCTGGTTAAAGGCAGCTATGGCTTTGAAGCTGAACTTAACAAGAGCCAAACCTCTTTCCACCTGAAGAAACCATCTGCCCTTGTGAGCGACTCCGCTTTGTACTTCTGTGCTGTGAGAGACACACTGATAGGGGCTGCAGGGGGAGCAGAACACAAACTTTGAGTCTAGTAAAACCCATTTACTTGAAGCCTTTGTTCCTCCACGAGAGTGGTGTGGTTCCAGGATATGTCACTTATTATAGTGAAACTACAGTTTAAAACCATAGAATTTGCTCATTCAGCAAGTGTTTATTGAGTCCTGATGTGCCAGGTACTGGGCTAAGCACCGGTCATAAAAAGGTGAAAGAAGTGTAAAACAAATAGAAAAAAACATAGGAGAAAATTACCATGACATTAGTCTGGGCAAGGAATTCCTTCCTTCTTTCCTTTCTTTCCTTTCTTTTCCTTCCTTCCTTCCTTCCTTCCTTCCTTCCTTCCTTCCTTCCTTCCTTCTTCTTCACTTCCTCTCTTCTCATCTTCATTCCTCTTTCTCTCTCTTCTTTTATCTTGCTTTCTTTCTGTCTTCTATTCTTCTTAGTCTTCTTCTCCTTCTTCTTTCTTTCTTTCTTCTTCTTCTCTTTCTCTCTGAAAAGGGGTTTTTTCAGACCATTTCTTTTTATACCCAAGGTGAAATGTCATCATCATCATAATTTTGCAAGTTAATACCCGGTTGAGACCATTAAAAAAATAGCTTCAATGGGATACCATGTCCAACGTTTGTTCACAAAAGCATATTTGTGTGACTTCAGTGGTTTGGGCATCTATTCATCCTGCCCACCGCAAGAGGAACATAGTACCCAGGAAGAGCTTTTCAAGTCTCCTTGGGGTGAGCAAGGAAATGTTTGTGATATGATCCCAAAAGCACAGGCAACAAAAGCAAAATAGCAAATGGTTACTACCTATTGAAACTAAAAAACTTCTGCACAGCAAGAAACAATAACAGAGTAAGAGAAGCCTATGAATGGGTAGAAAATATTTGCAACCTATCCTGATGAAGGGTACATCATTCAAAATATATTAAGACTAACATAAAAGCACCCAAATACCTGATTAAAAATAGGACAAGACTGATATATTTTTAAATGAACACAATACAAATGGCTGAGAGGTATATACAAATGCCTCGATAAATTAAATTATCAGGAACGTGCCAAATTACAGAACCACAAATTAATATCACCTCCACAACCCTAGTAGGTTGGCTATTATCAAAAGACAAAAGATAACAAATTGGTGAAGGTAAGAAGGGAACTCTTCCACATGTTGGTGAGAATGTAAAATTCCATAATGTGCACATTATGGGAAAAACATAGGGGAGTTTCTCAAACACAAAAAATAAACTAATATGACTGATCCAGAGTCTCACTACTGGGCATATGTCCAAAGAAAGAAATCAGTATGTTAAAGAGATACTGCACTCCATGTTTATTGAAGCACTATTCACAATAACCAAGATATGGAATCAACCTAAGTACCCATCCTTAGATGAATGGATAAAGAAAACATGGCATATATACACAATGGAATACTATTCAGTCTTAAAAAACGAAGAAATCCTGCCATTTGTGATGACACAGTTGAACCTGGAGGACATTATGTCAAGTGAAATAAGCCAGGCACAGAAAGACAAATACCACATAATCTCACTTATTTGTGTAATAAAAAAGTTGAATTTATCGAAGCAGAGTAGAATTGTGGTTACCAGAGGCTTGTGAGGGGAATGGAAAGGGATTGGAGAGATGTTGGTTAAAGGATACAAAATTTTAATTAGACAGGAAGAATAAGTTCAAGAGATCTATTGTAATGGCGACTATAGCTAATAATAATATATTTGCAACAGAAATTTCTTTATTTCTTTTTTCTTTTTTTTTTTTTTTGAGACGGAGTCTTGCCCTGTTGCCCAGGCTGGAGTGCAGTGGAGTAATCTCGACTCACTGCAACCTCCACATCCCAGGTTCAAGCTATTCTCCTGCCTCAGCCTCCCAAGTAGCTGAGATTACAGGCACCTGCCACTACCCAGGCTAATTTTTTGTATTTTTGGTAGAGACGGGGTTTCACAATGTTGGCCAGGCTGGTCTCAAACTCCTGACCTTGTGATTCACCTGCCTCAGCCTCCCAAAATGCTAGGATTACAGGCATTAGCCACCGCACCCAGCTGCAACAGAAATTTCTAAAAATTGCTGAAAGTAGATTTTAAGTGTTCTTACCACAAAAACGATATGTATGTGAGGTACTGCATATGTTAATTAGCTTGATTTAGCCATTCCACAATATACACATATTTCAAAACATTATGTTGTATACCATATATATATATACACACAATTTTATTTGTCAATTTAAAAAGGAATTGAAAGAAGCTGTCCTTGATCCCTATGTGCCAGGTGTGATTCCAAACATTAATGAATGCATTTAAGTCTCATAAGTATTATCATCAGCTTCACTTTACAGATGAAGAAGCAAAGTCACAGACTGTATCTTGCTCAAGTCACAAAGTCAATAACTGGTAAATTGCAACCCAGGCAGTCTGTCTCTAGGGCACATGGTCCAACCACTCCACTCCTCTGCCAGTCTATAGGCTTCTTGAGGCAAGAGACTGATTTTAGTGATGATGTAGCCCTAACTCCGGAAAGGGTTGCTGTCAAAAATATGAATGAACAATAAACTGACACTCTAAACGGTTTGGTGTGTGCCAAGATAGAGAATTCAAAAAATGTTCTATGAGATGAGGATATAGGAATAGCTTAGCTGTGAAAGAAGACAGAAGCAGTCTGTAATAGGAGGAGAGTTTGAATCAAGGAAGGTTGTAAACACGTAGTTCTTATAAGGATGGTTGCTTATAGTTCCTATGTTCACATCTTGCGTATGCTCTTGAGAGGAGCTGGACTTAATGCACTTTTCTCTCTTTATCTTTTCCCAAGTTTGAGTGTCCTGGGAAGGGCTCTGTTTGGCTCAGTGTGAGTTACGTGGCTTTTCCTTGGACTAATCAGTGGTGGCCATGGGTGCAGGCTGCTTGGATTAGCCCAGCTTGGGTTCTACCTTTGGTGGCTGCGGCTGGGAGTGAGGATTCTGCAGGTTAGCAGCTCTATTTTGAACTACATGGTTAAAAGGAGTGTGTCCCAAAATAAGTTAATTTTTACACAGGGATCTACATCTGTTTATTTTTTTCCCCAAATGGATAGCCAGTAGTTCTTATACCACCTCCTGAAAAATTCACTTTTGCCTCATAGATTTGAAATACCACATTTATAGTACATTAAATTCCTACATATACCCAGATCTACTTTTGAACTCTTGATTTTTATAGTTTTGTGCTAGAATGTGCTGCTTTAGGGAGATTCACTCTGCAGCCTTCGGTTTGTACCTTGTGATTTACCCACCTTCTTTTCCTATCCCTCAATCCATCACATACCCTAAGGAGCCTTATACCCAAGGATATGGACATGTTAACCCACATGTCTACAGTCTAGGCAAACAGTGATCTTTTGGCCACCCATTGGGCCTAGAGTTGTGTACACAGGTGGGATATCTGCTTCTGGGAAGATAATCCTTGAGAGAGGCCCATGCAGATCTTAAAAGTGGGCTTGGGGATGTTTGTGCAGGGAATTCTGAAATCCTGGGTACCCAGAATATGGTCAAGAAGAGGTATTTAGACTCTAAAGAGTCATGTCTTCTGTGTCCTGTGATTTTCTCATGGGGAAGGGATAGGAACACCTGAATGATGGCTGGGGTGGAGGCACAGAACTCTGAGCAGGGACATCACTTGCTCAGGTCTAGGGGTGGCAGTGTTCTGTACCATTATTGCCAAAATACATTTGAGTTCATGAAACCATAGTATCTATTTTAGATTTAGGTACACAGGTGCCATAACTCTAGGTGAGCCCTCAGCCACCATCATTGTTTCACTCCAAAGGAAGTTCATGTCTATAGGGATATTTTGAGCACATTACACCATTGACCTGGCTGTGTGGCCTCTTTCTGCCTTTGATACTTATAAATACATTTTATGCAAGTCCTGTAAAGGAAAGAAGTCTTTTTATACAATTATCACTTATTTATTCATTTAGTTATTCACTTATTCACTCAATGATTATTTGTGGAGTTTTGACTATGTGCCCGGCATCGTTATCATCCCTGCGGATGCAGTGGTGAACAAATCTTTCCCTCTAGTCATTCCCCAGGCTGCAAACGTGTTGATATCATTTCCCTACCCAAATAGAACTACTTCTTAGTCAAAGAGATACAACTCTCAAGATATTTGCTTCTCAAGAAAATTCTCCAAGGTTAAGCTAGCTCTTAGATATTAATCTTTTGTCATGTGGTAGTGATTGGTGGTGGTGGTGATGGGAGTGGAGTTATGTAGGGAAATGGGAATCTGTATTCCCCCCCCTTTTTTTTTTCCTATTTTTGTTTAATTTATTTAAGACCACCTCCTTACAACTTCCAGAGAGAAAATACAAAACAAGAAACAGACTTGGTTTCAAATACATAACAAGGTGCTGGAGTTTAAAGCATTACTGATAACATTGTTACAGAAGAATGGCAGCTTACTCCAGGGCACTTCAGTATTCCTGAGGAATAAACATGATTTCTCTTGTCCTCCCGCTGGGATGTTCTCAGGTGAAGTCATTGCTCCTGCTCTTTGACATATTTTCCGTGTAGAAGATATGGAGCCTGGAAATCATGCTGACAGTTGGAGTAAGCCATTCCTAATCCCATGCCAGAACCGAAGGCTAATGGCCACATTCTTTTTTTAAAGAAGGTAAGTGAGAAAACAATTCCTAATCCAAAACCAGTACCTATCTTCACGACCGCATCCGCCAGGCACCGGTCCCACTTCCTGCCGAGCTCCGACTGCGACATGTTCCCCACCCGCGCCTCCAGCTTTCCTCTGACCCCCGCGCTCTGACCTTTTCCCCCTTTTTTAAGGTGGCTGAGAGGGAACAACTATGTCTTTTTAGAAGTTCTGTTCTGACTTAACGAAAAGTTAGTCTTGCATTCCTTTTTCCTGTTTGTTGGAAATACTCCTTATAACCAGATAAGCTTCAGGAAAAACTAGAAATTCTGGAGAATTTATCATCATTAGATTTCTTTTTCTCCCCGCTTTTGTATCACTTCAAGAACTTTGTGGAAAGAGAACTGAATTAAGAATTAGGAAGCATAGGTTGTTCCTGATTCTTCCTCTAAGTAACTATGTGACATTGGACATGCCATTTCTACTCTATGTGCCTCATCTCTTAATTAATGAAATTGAGATCATTGGAAGGATTGTTGTGAGGATTGCTGTATGTATGAAATATGTCTTGGACCCCAAATAAGAGTGGCTATTTAGGTAGGCACAGCAATCAGATACCTAAGACACCATCCCTGTGGAGCCCTTATAACTGCCCTGAACTGCTGACATTTGAACCGTATCTTGATAAATGACTTTCCTTTGGCCTTTGTTGTATCAGTTGAACCTATATCCTAATTTAATCTTCTATACCTGAAAACCTGCTTTCAGGAAAGGGGCTAATATTATCTATGTATATTGTGGTTAAGTTGTGTTTAAGCACCAATTTAAAAAAGTTATTGTGGAATCACAGTTTTTGTCCTTGAAATATAATTTTAAGCATTTTAGAGAAGGTAAAGGTAGAGAAACATGATTTGGGGAAGAAAAGTTGTCCTGGTTTTCCTGAGAACACTATATAGACAGTCATCTTCTCATCTATGTGAGAATCTGCCCCTGCCTGGATACATGGGAGACACTTCTCCCCGCAGTCTTCCGTGCTACATTCAGTCCTCCCTCCTCTCATCTTTCCCTGATTGTGTAGTGAGTTTCACTAGGTTCTCTGAAAGAATCTTTGAATTCCATTCTAATTCTCGAAAGGTGTGCTTCTGTGATATGCAAAAGTTGGCGGGGATTCACTGTAGTATAAGAACATGAATTCCAGGAGCGGCCATAGATAAGTTGTGGTCACTTGCTGTCATCAGCACTGCATTAATCTGACACAGATCCTGCAAAATGCCTCCTTCTGCAGTATCAGTGATGAACAAGTATTAAATAAAGTGATATTTAACTGTTAAATTAGCAATTATAAACTATATAAACAGTATTGACAAAGAGTAAATGGGTACTGAAGTATACTATTGATGGCATAAACTCATATGTTGCTTTTGGGAGGCAATCTGGCAATCTTCACTGTCTCTCTTTTCTCACTTTTTTTTTTTTTTTGAGATGGAGTCTTGCTCTGTTGCCCAGGCTGGAGTGCAGTGGCGCCATCTGGGCTCCCTGCAAGCTCTGCCTCCCGGTTTCAAGCTATTCTCCTGCCTCAGTCTCCAGAGTAGCTGGGACTACAGGTGCCCATCATCACACCCGGCTAATGTTTTGTATTTTTAGTAGAGATGGGATTTCACCGTGTTAGCCAGGGTGATCTCGATCTCCTGACCTTGTGATCCACCCACCTCGGCCCCCCAAAGTACTGGGATTACAGGTGTGAGCCACCACACCCGGCTCTCTTTTCTCACTTTTTACTCACCTTTCTACCCATTGAAGTGTGGTTTTTAACTTCCACCATTGGTCCAAACTATTCTTGCCAAGGTTAGCAACAAGTTTCTTGGGTTATATCCAATGATTATTGATTATTCCCTCTTTGAAACCTGGTCCTCTTTTGGTTTCTGGTACACCACTCTCTTTAAAAAAGAAAAAGTTAACAGCTGACTTTCAATAGACAGCAGTGAGGGAGCTGCTCTGCTGCATGTGAAACCCCAGCCCACCTCTCTCTTTTTGATGTTCTTATATCTTTGGCTGAACCTGCTCTATCCTTTTTTTTTGTAGGCTTTTCTTCTGCTTTCTCTTTTTTTTTTTTTTTTTTTTTTGAGACGGAGTCTCGCTCTGTCGCCCAGGCTGGAGTGCAGTGGCCAGATCTCAGCTCACTGCAAGCTCCGCCTCCCGGGTTTACGCCATTCTCCTGCCTCAGCCTCCCGAGTAGCTGGGACCACAGGCACCTGCCACCTCGCCCGGCTAGTTTTTTGTGTTTTTTAGTAGAGACGGGGTTTCACCGTGTTAGCCAGGATGGTCTCGATCTCCTGACCTCGTGATCCGCCCATCTCGGCCTCCCAAAGTGCTGGGATTACAGGCTTGAGCCACCGCGCCCAGCCTTCTTCTGCTTACTCTTTAAAGCTTGTGTTCTTTTTTTTTTTTTTGAGACATAGTCTCACTCTTGTCGTCCAGGCTGGAGTGCAGTGGTGCGATCTTGGCTCACTGCAACTTCCACCTCCCAGGTTCAAGTAATTTTCATTCCTCAGCCTCCTGAGTAGCTGGAATTACAGGTGCCCGTCACCATGTCTGGTAAATTTTTGTACTTTTAGTGGAGACAGGGTTTCATCATGTTGGCCAGGCTGGTCTCGAACTCCTGACATCAGGTGATCTGCCAGTTGGTATTTAGGATTACTCCCTTGACCTATTTATTTTCTTAGTCAACATTTTTTTTTCTGGGTAATATTATCCATACTATGCTTCGACTATTATTTGCTGATTATTTTCAGCTCATATATCTCTTCTGAGCTTCAATTTAATATATCAAACTGGATTTTTGACCTATGTGGATTTTCCAAAAGCACCTCAAATCAATGGTGCAAAGCTTAGCTCTTTATCTTTCTTCCTTCCTCCCCACCTCCACCAAATGCAACAAAACAAAACAAGATAAAGCCGCTCCTTCTTTTGTGTTTTTCATGTCAAACAACAGGACCATCATCCACCCAAGTGCCATCCACTTTCTTGCTCCAAGTCTGTCTAAATTCTGTGCCTTCTGCCTCTTTCTACTCAGTCTAGTTTTCATCAGATTCATTCTTCCTCTTCTCTTAGGTTTTAGTTTAGGTGGGTGTCACTGCTGCTGGGAAGCCTTCCTGCAACCCTACAACCAAAACAGTTTCACTTCCTGTGTGTTCCTATGGTGCTTTATGCTTTCCCGATCACAGCAGTTATCATGAGGACTATCATTGCTTTTACAATTCTCTTCCTTCTCACTAGACCACTGGGTCTTTCTCGTCACTGAATGGCCAGTGTCTACCTCAGTGCCTGACTCTAATATGGGCTCCACAAATATTTGTGGATTGAATAAATGGGTACTTCACAAGAGTCTTAAAATGTTCTTACTCGAACCCAGGAAATCCTCTTTGCAGAAGCTAGTCTAAAGAAACAATTGGAAGTTTAGACAAAGATTTATGTACAAAGGTGTTTATCATAGTATTCTTTCTAAAATCCAAATGTTTAATACTAGAGAAATTAGTAAATAAATTATAGCACATTTCTACCACGGACTATGTTGAGGCTATTAAAACTGGAATTTTATGTATATTTATTGATAAGAAAGAATGTTTGGAAAATAGTATTAAGTTGAAAAAAACTCTAGCATGTGCAAATGTGTGTGTGTTCATGTGCACACAGAATTCAATTGTGTTAACAATAGCCATGCAAAAACAGAGGATTAAAAAGCAGTATGCCTAAATATTATCAATGATTATTTCTGGGATATGGTATTACATATGATTTTAAAAATACTGTCCCATATTTTCCAAATTCTATATTTAGAATTAATTATTCTTCTAACCAGAAAAAAGTCCCGCTTAAAAAAATTTAAAATATTTCTCTTGTAGTTGGCTATTGCTATAGGGCATGGTTTTCTTTCATAACTTTAAGAACTTTCTAAAATTTGCTTTAACAATGGTCTATTTTTTTATTACAATATATATAAAAAACAACATTAATGCAAGTGATATGCTCCTATGTGTTCACTCAAATACTTTTGAACACCAGAAAATGTTTTGCAAAGGAGTATATATATATATCAGTTGAGGTTCTCCAGAGAAACAGAACTAATAAGATATCTGTCTGTCTATCTATCTATCTATCTATCTATCTATCTATCTATCTATCTATCTATCTATCTATCTTTGTATCTATCTTTCTATCTATCTATCTATCTGTCTGTCTCTCTATACATAAATGCTTATTGGAATATATGTTTATTAGAATACATATATATAATTATTGATTATATATAAATCTTGATCCAAGTCCAAATGCTCAAGAATCAGGAGCACTGATGTTGGAGGGCAGGGAAGATGGATGTCCCAGCTCAAGCAGAGAGAGAAAAGTTGTCCTTCCTCTACCTTTTCATTCTATTCAGGCCCTCAGTGAATCGGGTGATGCCCACCTGCATTGATTAGGGTGGTCTTTACTCAGTCAACCAACTGAAATGTGAATCTTTTCTGAAAACACCCTCACAGACACACCCCACAATAACATTTTACCAGCCACCTGGGTATCCTTTAGCCTAGCCAGGTTGACACATAAAGTCAACCATCGCAACCTACATAATACATAATATAATTATTAGCACCATATATTAGTTTGCTAAGGCTGTGGTAACAAGAGGCCATAAACTGGGTGGCTTAAACAACAGACATGAATTGTTCCACAGTTCTGGAGGACAGGAGTTCAAAATCAAGGTGTTGGTATGGTTAGTTCCTTCTGAGGGCTGTGATGGAATGACCTGTTCTTGGCCTCTGTTCTTGGCTTGGAGATAGCCATCTTCTCCCTGTATCTCTTCAAATTTTCCTTCTATTTTTGTCCGTCTCAGTGTCCATATTCCCCCTTTTTATAAGGACACCAGTCATCCTTCACCAGTTTGGATTCAAGCCCACCCAAATACCTCATTGTAACTTGATTACCTGTAAAAACTGTCTCCAAATAAGGTCACCTTCTGAGGTATTAGGGATTTGGACTCCAATATGCATATAAAGTTTTTGGGTGGGAGGAAGACACAATTCAACCCACAGCACACCACTACCATCAATAATTACTTTCATTCCATAGGCTGGAGGGGTAAAAAAACTTCTAGTGTTTCTTCCTCCAGTTGCCT